TGATTTGGATTATTTGTAGATGGAAATCCACCATTGGTGTTGCTACCATAGGGCCAAGCTGATGCAGTTTGGAAATACTTTTCACCCCCTCCATAGGACCAATTAGAGCCTGATGGAAGTGACTGATGAAGATCAGAGTGGCCTGATATGCCCAAGTTCATCTTTAACCCTAGTCCTCCTGGTGCCCTGGCAAAATAATGTGGATGAGTTGGGAGAGCTCCAGGCATTGCAATTGCTGGCATTGCTGCTACCTCCTTTGGTTGCCCGCACTTTTTGCACACCTCTCTTGAAGCATAATTGTTGTTACTGCAACCTATTGGTCCATTGGCCACAATATCCAAACAGCACGGTGGCCAACCAGGAAAATGCACCCAAGCATACGCACAACAACCAGCCCATCGCAATTCAAACACACACCACAAAACACACGCACCCACACCAGTCATACATGCAACCCAGTTGATTATAGGCTTCATAATGACAATTTTAAATTGAAATATACAAATAAAGAATGCACCCATACAAGATTAAAAAGTGCAGATTTTCTCTGCACATGCAAGGTAAAAAAGTAGCACAGGACGATCAGATGGGCAAATTTGGTAAGCGAATGGAAGTGCAATTAATGTGCTCTAGGGTAGGCAGTTCCAGTGAAAGCAGCATTTCTGTCTTGTTAATGCTTATGACCATAAAACTAAACAAACCATAGTTCTAAATAGGACGTAAAGTTTTGAGAGGCACTGGAGAATTGATAACAATAATCTTCCCAAAAGATGGAAATTATAAAGATGATATGTCTGTGTTTTGGTTTGCCTAATATCATGAGTGAAGTTCTGGTTACAGCCTTAATCACATTATAGAGGTTCCAGTCTATTAGTGTGTGCCTATTCAGGAGAAGTATTACCAAACTTTGGGTCTAATTTCAAAACACAGAAATCATTCATAAGATTGTTCCATAAAATATCTACAAGTATGTAATTTGTGCTTTTCTATTTATTTTTTGAAGATTCAAGTGTTGGGATTTTCTACTGTAAATAATGCACAGAATAGGGTTTTGTAACAGCTGGACTGAGTGAATTGAAGCCAAAATATCTGTACATTGATGTATTTGGCCAATGCATCCCAATAGGCTTCTTAGGAGTACCAGAAAATCAGGGGAAGAGGCTCCCATGTGTTGTTTGTTTTTTTAACAGGTATCTACAGAATATCCATATAATTTGTTTTTTTAGTGGAATATCTACTGAAGTTATGAAGTTGGTGGAATGTCAGAGAGACAAAGTGAGATGGAGGTCATGCAGTAGCAGCACTGCCCTAAGTACAAAATTCACACAATTAAGTGTTTGCCTTACGAGGGGAAGTTAATTAATAGGAAATGGAGAGCAAATTAACCTTGTACGAATTTCTGCAAAGTCCATGCAAAGAAAGGAGATGAATGTGGCCGACTTTTCTTTTTCTTTTCTTTTTTTTCACGACAGTTGAGAACTGAAGGCAATGCATTCATTTAGTTGTCAGTAATGATAAACAAACATATGCACAATAACAAGGAAGACAGAAAGGAACAGTTAACTTTCAAACAAAAAGGGAAAATGCAGAGAAAGTAAGGGATGCAAGAGATGAAGATAGAAGTTGAAGGCAGGGGGAAATGACGAGGAAAGGAAGAAGGGGGAGGGGGTAAGTGGCAGCATGGGTTGGGATAATACCCAGCAAGTAGCAAACAATTCCACTGCTTGCTTTTTTGGGCCGACACAACTGGCCCAAGTTCGCAGTACAAAGTGAGAGAAGAAAGGAGCCACCAATAGCATGCCCCAAGTTGACCACTTCCACTGATAGCCTCAACCTTCTCAAGGATATCCACCAAGCACCGAGGGATGGGAGAGTCACTGCTAGCTCCACTTCATGAAATTAAGGGAGCCCTTAACAAAAACTAAAGGCCTAGAGCAGAGTTGAGTAAACGTTTTAAGTGTCATGAGAAAGGCATGGACCTCTGCGTCAGTGGAGTTGCCATGTCCTATTGGGCCGGAAAAAACATAAGCACCATCCTCCCTCATGGCAGAATGCCAATTGCATCAGATGTTATAGGATTACCAAACGAACTGACACTGAATTTGACTACCATCAGCAAGGGATTTGATATTGAAAAGTTCTACACATTTCCTAGCAAGAACTAGCAACAGGCTTTTCAACAGGTAGATAATAACAGAAGGAAGTTCTTTTAATTGGTTGAGCAATGACAAATACTTGTTTCTTTGACTTGTATGGTCCAAATTTATTCTTTTCTTTATTCTTATAAAACACTTAAATCTTTTGAGTTTTTTTCTCTCTCAGGAGGTTTATACCAGGCTCAATGATGCTGCCTTGAAGTTGAGTAAGATTCAGATTTTAGGTAAGCAAATACTTTCCTGAGTGGACAGAAAATGAATATTATTGTTATTATCATTTTTTTAAGCCTTTTTTCCTTGAATAACCATGAATTCTGCTAGTTTTATTTCAATCATGTTTGATGGCACTAATCACTCACTCTGATATATAGATGGAAATGTGACTGAACCTAATGAAAGAAAGATTTTTTACATAGACATCAAATAATGCAACTATAAGTACTAGGATTTTTAGATGTAAATGTTGGTAATAATAGAGATTTGAGGTTTTCTCAATAAAGGATATCACAAGTCTAACCAGTGTTCAAAGAAACAGGGGCTAGAGCTGGGACATGATGGGGTCACAAGCCCGAGTCCCCAAGTCCAACTCATCTAACCCTTGATTCTGACCGGTGATTTTTAAGCAAAGAAGTACAGATTTCTTTAGAAAGTTGGATACTCAAGGTGAGTCCCAAGCCCAACTTTGTGACTCCCAAGCCAAGTCTCTGATTGTTTTAAACACTGAATCTAAACGATTCAGGACTATACCATTTGGAGCAGGAATTCTCAAGGATACAAATGAATTGAAGAGATCATTCAGGCCAATCATTTTTTACCAAGATAATACCAATGGAAGCTATATATCCCCTGAGTTACTTAAGACTTACAAAGAGGCATGGGATGGAGAGCAACTCATCCATTTCAATTGGGCCAAAGCCAATAATTAGATATTTAAGAATCTAAAGACTGGTAGAAATAAACTTCCTATTTAAATGAAGATTTATCAAACCTATGTCCAACATGGCATGCATCAATACTCCAGCCTCATGTCTGTACCTAGAGACTCAGTCCTTCCAGCTGCACCACACAGATCTCTAGCCCATGATTTCAGAGATGTGTAGGTAGTGCCATACTTGTGGGAAAATGAGGCACAGTTCATGATTGTATGTAAAGATTAATGCATAAATATTGCAAACAATAAGGGTGTGCATTTGAAAACTGCCACAAAAGATTGCAGATCGAAGTCCAAAAGCCCCTCCAATGTCGTTGATTTTTGTGACTCCATATGCAATCAGTGCCTCCTGCATCCATGTTGCGAGCAGGATGCTTGGCTCCTCAACCTTCCTCCACAACATTCCTTCGTTAGTGTTTAAGGCGTTACCTCCATCTATTGATTCATGTTCATGCGATCATCGGTTTCAGAGTGACACGGTTTCAAGAGAAACACATCTTCTTGGATTTTATCTAACCACATGATTAGTGATACCCAAAACCTCCAATAATTCAACCCCACTGTGGCAATGGACCACTTCTTACTACAAATGGTTCTAAGCTCCCTAATATTTGTCAGAAGAAGTACTTTTACAGCTTCCACTTTCTCACTCATTTGCTTCAAGCAAAGTGCCTTTTCATCCCATTCTAGTAATAAACCTTGTATCTCTTGGAAAGGTACTAAAAATTAATTTACTGGTATCTTTCTCCAGAGAGGGTTTCTTGTGCGGGGCCTAGTGAACAAGAGATTAATTGGGGAATGCTGCACATCCTTCAAAGACATCTCTTCTCACCTCCACAAAATGAAAACCACATTTTCTAATAAGTTCTCCTTGTATCTCATTCATTTACCAAGTTTCCCATTATTTTCATATACAACCTCCACAATTTTCACATGCGCTGTGACACTTTCCAATCATTACTAATATACCTTCTATTATTTTCTATATATAACCATCATCTATATAGTTTCTATGCACAGCATTCTCCTTGATAACTCCTTCCCTAAATCAGCTTATAAAATTTTAACATCATGACTCCATTTTGGGACTTGCTAAAAACAGATTAGTGCAATCTGCTATTTGCACTTCTGACTCATTTTATAAAGTTGTTAGTTGTCCAAGAAATATGTGAAAATGGCCCATCTCTTAACATAAAAGGAAATGCACGACCCACTCAACAAGTATTTAAGTTAAGGATGCTCCAACCATACAAGCTCAGACTGAAAGGGAGATCCTATCCTACAACTTGAGGGCAAATTGTCCCTACATAAGATTTCATTAGGGCCATTCATACAACCTCAATAATCTGTAGGGAAGTCAGAGAACTAGCTACCTGTCATCATCTTTATTTTTGTGTCCATGTAAAATACATCACTTAAAAGGGGGAGGGACACAAATTCATTCCTTTGTAACAGAAAATAAGACATTGTCCCAGAAGAATGAGAAAGGAGAGATCCAGTACTTTACCATATAATCATTTCCCTCTCTTGCCATGATAAAACCCAATGGCATCAAAATCCTGGACAAGATATACTGAACATACAATTTTAATTTGCAGATACCCTAAATAAATAAATAAAAACTCATGATGCCCATTTCCATAGAGCTTCATGCTACCCAGCTCTATTGTAATCCAGCCAATTGGAACTATACTTTAAATAAATAAATAAATAAAAACTCATGATGCCCATTTCCAAAGAGCTTCATGCTACCCAGCTCTTTTGTAATCCAGCCAAATGGAACAATATACACAAATATTTAAGGATTTAGAAACCAGGGAGAGCAAGCACGAGTGGAGGGGCATAACTTACAAATTTTGAGCCTAGAGATTATACATTTTCAAGAGCAGGTGCACTACATCTTAATGAAAATAAGCTTCTAAGCACAAACCACTCCCAACAAGAGAGTTCCCAACAAGAGAGTTCAATGAGGACCAAACTAACGAAAAATATAACCTGCCTATTCACTGACATAGTGGCACTCTATCCAATGCAATCACATAAAAAACACCACAGTCCCTCTATATAGAATTAATGAGATTTCCACCAACAATATGACTCGACCCAAGCCATCATAATTTGTTTCTTTGATTATCACACATATGGACACTAGGTCCCAATCCAATATATCAAGTTTGCAGAGCCCATCTTCACCCAACCACCCAAATGGTACATAGATATCCACCTGCATTTTCTCTCACTACTCCCCCTTAGACACCACCTTCCACTTCTCACCTTCATGAGTACCTTCTTAATACAATCTAAGTAAATCATTGAACACAAATGTCACAAATTGAGTGGAAATCTCCAAATCGTGGAACCCCAATGATCAACAAGAAGATGCATATAGAGCTCACTCCAAAACTTGTAATAATCAAAATTTCATGTAATATTTAACTGCACAATGGTCATGCCTAGGAGATGTACCGCCTCTCCATTAAATTAAATTCTTGTTCCAATCAGTGTTTAAGAAATTAGAGACTCGGCTCAGGACTCATCTGAGTAGGCTTGGATTGGCTCCAGCGGAAAAACCTGCAGACTCACCCTGAGTCTCCGAACTTCTAAAGAAATTTGTAATTTCTTTGTTTCAGATTCACCAGCCAGACTCTGGCCAGGTGGCATGGGCCCTGAACCCGACCAAGTCTCGCCCTGAGCCCATATTTCTAACACTGCATCCAACCAACATAAGCATCCAATCCAACCATGCAAAATGTCCAATTAATTATACATACCATGTTCCTGGAAAAAACCAACATATCCAGAAAATTATTCATTTTACTCTCCAGTATGCATTATAATAAGTAAGCAAAAACACCTGCAAAATTTTATAATAAAGCAAGGCAAAAAAATTGCACTACCAAAAAAATTCCAGTTCTATATTATCTTGAAAAAGGGGAAAAATCCAGTTCTAACTTAAAGTGGATTGCATACACATCCAAAGAAATATTCTGTTCCATTTGTCAGTTCATTGGACAGAAAGAGCAAAAACAAGCAAAGGGAGAAAGAAGAGAACCAGAGCAGATCCAGTCGCCAATTCGAGGAAGCCATTTGGAGTCAGCTGGGGTTTTGGTGTCGACAAGAAGCCTCGGTTGCTTGCACCTGTTACAAAAGGACCTGAATGCATAGTTTCTGTTCTGGCAACCCCCACACTCCCAGTCTCCTTCTCTTCCCTCTCCCATTTCGCTCTAATCTCTCTTACTCTCTCTAAAGCTTCTCTCTTTTCTCTCTTCTCTACCCTCTATGGACTACAGTTAGGTGTCTCGGCTTCGCTCACTGTAAATTCCAATTAGGGTTTCCTTTTGAGAGATTTATCAATTCAATGGTGTTGCAGAACAAGTGTTGATCGAGAAAAGCTCGAAAATGTGGCAACTGATTTCTATGAACTCGATGGCCGAAAAATACCCCATTGATTTGCTGGAATGCCGAAATTATTCTTATATTTCGCGAAATAACAATTTTGCCCTTTTTGGGGGAAAGTACGGTGGTTTTGCCCTTTCGGGGGAAAGTACAGTGTGGCCCATACGATAATAAAGATAGCAAACGTCTGGGTTTAAAAGTTGGACCTAGGTCAGGTTTGATTTCAAATCTTGGACTTTGGATCTAGATCCGATTGTATCCGAGTCAGGGTCTGGGTCTGGGTTTGACAAAAATTTTAAGGTATTAATACGTGAAATTTATTCAATATAATTAAATACATAAATATTTTAATTTTGAGAAAAGTTTATATAGAGCCGAAGCTCTAAACAATCAAATTAGAACTTACCTCAAAAATCTCATTAGAAGTGGCTGTTTTGATGCGCAAATATCTTCAAATTGATCATCTTGACATCAAGATGCATGGACATCAAAAAAAAAAAATTTAAGTTTTGAAAATAGTCTATTTTGTAATGTATTTTTGGGCCGTCAATTTTTAATATATTCACGTTTTCATAGGTCTGTCGATCTACACTATTTTTAAAGATTTAAACTTTACAAATAAAGATAAAAATAGATTTTAAGACCATCACAAAGATTTTAAGTATTGAATCCACATTTCGTGACACTATTTGAAGGTAGGCTCTAATTTGATTGTTTAGAACCTAAGCTCTATACAAACCACGCCCTTTAATTTTGGTCGGATCCGGGTCCCACGCTTTATTTTTGGGTCAGTTCGACCAGCCCTAGACCCAACACAACCTGATGCCACCCCCATAAAGCATCGTAATGGTGAGCATCATCGCACCATGATCTGCATGGTGATGGATGAGGGAGGATGTAAGAGTGGGCTAGTGAGTTTGTTTGGTGGGCCCAATCTCCTATAACCATCCGATCCACTTATGGGATGGCGATGGCCACCATGACAAGGATGCTACCATGATCACATGGGTGATACTTCACATTATCATTCCCCTTTCAAAAGAACAAAAGTTGGAGAATCGCTATATGACTCGGGATTTTCCGTGTTGGATCAGAATCAAGAAGTGCGCAATTCTGATCGAGGAACCCCAAACTCATTGTGATTATCCCAGATTTTTTTAAAAAATATATATATATATAAAGAGACTATTTGTTTTTAGTATAAGAAAGTCACAATCATTTTTGTATGCTAGATTTTAAATCGGGTGGTAATAAGTGTGCTATTGAATAGACTTAAAGTTAAAAATAAATAAAAAATTAAAACTTCATGACTCATCTCATGCCATCTATTTTGACATCTAATAGCTTGCAGTGATTGTGAGACTGTGTACTTTTGGTACATAGATGTCACAAATCATTTTTAATCATCGGATGTAAAATTCAATAGATTAAAGGGTGTTACAATATTCAAAAAATTTTATTTTGGATTTTGTGCCTAGTCAATGACACATTTTCAACCAGCCAATTTCATATTCAATTGTCATTAATAATTGTGATCTTCTTATATTAAAGTTAATGGCCTCATTGTGTACATTTTCGTTATATTAATAGAACAAGTGTCCTATCAATTTATATTAATAAAAAAAAAGTTCATTCAATTTCCACATAAGTCCAATAGATGATAGGGGGAAAGGGATGATAAAATATATAGATCAAGGTTTGAAAAATCATTGATGTAGATCAGAATCGCTCAATCCGAATTGAGAATCATCTTGTAATAATATATCGAGATCCGGCCCATATTGATTATTTGTTAAAGAAGATGATAGAGAAATGAACCAAAATTTTGGGATTTATCAAGTTCAATTATATATGAACCTATCTTGCCTTATGAGCACGAATCACACCAACCTCAAGCATACCAAGCTAGGTTCATACCCTTTATGATACCAATTTATCCCACACTGGTTTGATGTGGGATATTGTTTGCTAACCTTTTCTCTCCAACGTCTACTTTAGGTGGCATTTGATAAGCAATAAAGGGGTGAAAGTACACCACTTTCATCGGATCTGTTCATTTCACCTGTTTAATCACACCCTAATGTTAGGGAGAATCGAAACACACTTCTTTCCCTTTATACTATTCATAGCTCACAACAGCTTACTCCATCGCCATCATCAGACAGCTTAGGTGTTGAAGGTTAAACCCAAAAATTAGTGAGTTTTTTTTTTTTTACTATATACTACGATGATAAACTCCAAATCAGTGAGTTAACTCACTGAGTTTAATTATTTATTTATTGCTATTATTTTTGCTTATTCCTTAATGAATGTGCTTTGATTTTTCTCTATTATTTTTTTTCTGTTTTATATAGCTGTCATATTATCACCATTGATGGATAGTTGTACTTCTTTTTTTTACATGAAATTTCTTGCTTTATGAAGGCAATTTCATCAACGATTCAAGTTCAGTTGGATTTCTTCACTCTGGTTTCAGTGCTTCAAAGAACAAAACTTGAACCTGACTCTCAGGGAATTTTCACTTTACTTACTGCTTTCCATGACCAGCTTTCACCAAATTTTTCACTGTATTTTGACAATGGGCAAAAATGCAAATATTTCTACCTTTTTTTTTGTTTAAAAACATCGATCTTTTGTTAAACACCAAATCTACATACGTAAATTTTATTTATTTATTTATTTCTGTGTTAATATTGAATCGACCCTAGTTTCCTTTCTTTTTTTTCCCCTGATTTCTGTTATTTTTTTATTTGTGTCCTTTTTTTGTTATTTTTTGTTATTAGTTTTCAGATTTTTCTTTGAGCTCTGTTGTTGTTCGTTTTTGTTGATTAGATGTCTTATTTGCGTTTTTTTTTTGGGGCTTTGTCAGCCTCTTGGACCTATAGATCCATATATACATACATGAATCTACTGATCTCTAGCTAAAAATTATATTTATGTATTTATGCTTGTGTATTTGTCTGTATATTTATGTACTTGTTATTCTAGTTTACTAATTCTTTATTTCCATCTCCGTAATGAATGGGGGATGTTAGCAAAGCAAGCAAACATAAATCTAAAACATGGTGCAGATTCCTCTTTGAACATTGAATGACTTTTTGATATAAAGAAAATCAATTTTCTTCGTATTTATGGAAATATCGGTATTCCTTGAATCTATTTAAATTTTTGATAATATGCTGGATGAATCGAAGAACCTTATGTAATTATAAAATATTTTTAAAAACTGCATTTCGCATATCATATCAATGAAATACCTTATGAACAGTTTTACATGCAGTTTCCAACTTTCCCATTACCGAACAGGTAAAATAATCAGCACCACAGTTTATCAAACAGGGTTTCCAGCTTTCACCTTACCAATTTTCACCTGCATCCAGAATTTAGGAAAGTTAACAGCAAGGGTGATTCCTAGGGACACTGTAGTAAAAGTTATCAAACACTAATTAGACATTCTCTCTCCCTTGCTTCTACATTTCCATTAACAACTCTCTCTCTCTCTC